AGTGAAAAAAAGATACGTCAGATTTGCATTAAAAAGAGGACATGTAGCATTTAAGTTTGAATAAATAAATAAAAAATAAATAAATTTGTTTATACGTTTTTACACGTTTAAATTTAAGAACAAATCTATTTTCGAGTTATCTTTTTTTTGTAAGCCGAACATAACGAGTCATCGTTTTCAATGCAAATTCTACTTGTTCTTTGATTGTTTTGTTGTAAGTCCGAAAAAAACTCGTTACTGGATAGAAATAATAACACATTTTGATTAGGTTTACTCATAGAGAATTTCCAGCAGATTAACTTATTGAAATTCTCTATAAGAAAAGCCAATTCAAATAGGTGGAATCTCTGCCAGGTTGTAAATATATTCAGAAACGAAGAAGTGTACAAAAGCCTTAAAATTGCACCAATTATTTAACATAAAAATAATAAAAAGAAATTTAAGTAAATTATAATTAAAAAATGTATGCCGTAAAGGATGGTTTATTATCATTAAAAAAAAATGAAAATAGTTATGAGGCGGTCTTTACATGTTTGCGTTCGAACACTACGTTTTGCGTTGAATACTAGGAGTGTAACAAGGATAAAGAAATATGTCAGTCTTTTTTTTTCTCATTACTGAACGCAAAAAGGCAGCGTTCAAATGCAAGCATGTAAACACCTCCTTAATATTAAAAATAAAATAATTATTTTAAATAGATACAAGGACGCAATACCAATAAAATCAAAGATTACCTAGTGTTACATAGAAAGCAAGAAACTCTCAATCAAAAATTAATTTTATTATGTCTAGTTCAATAAAAGTAAAGGAAATAAAAAATAGTGTATCAAAATGGATGCTAGGATTCAATGTCAAAGCAATATGGAAAAAAATTATATTTACCGTAAGCAAAAATCTCCATTTAACTAAAATAAGTTGTTACTTGTCCATAAAACATTATATTTTCGAGAAGGTAATTTAAATTTACAAAACCAATAATTTATTAATTTTAAGGATAATAATCACACAGTAAACATTTTGCTGACAGAAGAATTTCAATAAGAAACATTTATTACTTTTGTAATCTATAATTCAATAGAGTTGGAATGAAAAAGAGACGCCAACAAATAAATATACTTTAAGCAATTCTAATATAAATATTTAAATAAAGATATATATTTATCATGTTCTAAAACAAGAACATGTCTCAATTCCGGATGCTGAACTTATTCAAGAACATTACTTGAACATGTACAAGAAAATGTACAAGTTCATTAATGAACATGTTCAAGAACTTGTACATTTTCTTGTACAAAGTTTTTTAGCCGGGCAAAGCAAAATAGAAAAATCAATATGAAAAGGAATTATATTTACCTTAAACAGAAACCTGAATTTAACTGAGCTATATGTCGTTACTTTATGCCCATAAAAAATCACATTTTAAAAGAAACAATTTATATTTTAAAAAAACCAGAATTTACCAATATTATGGGTAATTTATATTATTAAACGGTAAACAACAATTTGTAGGCAGAAAATTTTCAATTACATCGTTTTACTTGTATAAAGTAGCAAAGTAAAATGGACGAGAGACGCCAAGCCAAGCGCAAACAATTATATATTTTTAAACATATGTGATTCTACAATACAATAAATTTTTAAAAGTGAAACGTCTAAAATATGACACTTTAAGTTGGTATCACAATAGGCAAAATTGTATCGTATTAAGGCCTTTTTCCAATAGGTTCCTAAATGTTTGTGTTGCTTGACTAACTCGTTGGTTCCCATTTAGTTTATCATAGGTAACGTCATACGTCTACGTTTACGAATGCTGCAAGGTTCCCATTGGAGACGCGCCATTATGTTCCTCTTATCCCGGTTTTCCAACTTTACAATTTTAGCATTTAGAAGCAGAATTTTATCAGCTTTTCAACCATCTAAGTTAAAAATCTCTGACTTTTTTCTAACTTAAAATATCTTGCTTTAAAGTCAGTACCGAATTTCCACACCTCGTACGTTAGTCGTACCGACAGTTTCCGACGGTAGTGTATTTCCATCTTTTTTTACACTCATGATCTAGTGACAAGTAGCCTAGGGGCGCACTCACAACTTTTGGCTGCCTGCCTGCAGGAGTTGTCATGGAAACGTGCAGGAGTAAGAGAGAGAGAGAGAGAAAATTAAAATTTGCATTTACTATCTCTGTTACTCTTACACGTTGCCATGACAACTCCTGCAGGCAGGCATGCAGCCAAGAGATGAGAGTGTACCATAAGTAGAATAGCTTCTTGAACGGGAACACAATCAGGGTGTCTAACAATTTCAAAAAAATAATTCCCTGACTTTTCCCTGACTTTTTACTGACTTTTCCCTGACTTTCCCTGAGGACGGAAATTAGAAAACCTGCATATTTTTGATAATTATAAAACAACTTTAAACTTAAAAAAAATAAAAACCAATTTTTTCAGTTTTTTTTCTTCCTAAAGATTAATGAAATTAAAAAAAAATTGAATCTTAAAAATTTTTCAATCATACTAGCAAAAATTCACAAAAATTTCCCAATTGAACAGAAATTCCAGAAAATTAAGGAAATTCCCTGACATTTCCCTGACTTTCCCTGACTTCCCTGACCGTTAGACACCCTGACAATTGTAAACGAAAACGTAAGATTTAGTAAGGGAAGGATAGCAAATATCTTTATTCTTCGTGATTCCGTTAAGGTCATGTTATTCAGTGATCACATGATAAAAAGAAAAAAATCGATATTTCTTTGGTGTAAGATTTCTCTTAACTGAAATGGAATTTTTTAAAAATATTTTCAGAGATGAAAGAGAATATATTTCTCAAGCGTTCTCTGGTGTGTTTTTTATATTTTGTTAAAAAAAATTTTTTTTTATTTATTATTGATTGGTTTTTTCGGTGTAAGATTTCTCATAAATGGAATGGAATTTTTTAAAAATATTTTGAGAGATGAAAGAGAACATATTTCTCAAGGGTTTTCTGGTGTGTTTTTTATATTTTGTTGAAAAAATTTTTTATTGATTTTTTAAATTGAACCCGTAGTGTGAAAGTACTGGTGGTAATTAATCGACATATATGTAGGTAGTTTTGGTTAGTGTAAAATTCCTCATAAACGGTAAAATATTTTAAAGAAATATTTTCAGGGATGAAAAAGGGTGATTTTTCACAGGGATTCCTGGTTATTTTATTTTATTTAGTTGAAATTTTTTTTTATTGATTTTAGTGATTGAACACGCAGCCGCAAAATGGATAGTGTAATCAATCGATAAATCAAGTAGTTTTGGTTTGTGTAAAATAACTCTTAAACGGTGAAATATTTCGGAAAAATATATTTGGAGATGAAAAAGTGTAAACTTATATATTGATTTCTGATTATTTAACAATATTTTGTTGCAAAAAATTATTTTTTTAATATTTATGTAATTAATATTATTGGAGAAGATTACAGCAGCGCCTCTCGCGGCCTAGTACAAGCGGTCGGTAATATAAGATGGCGACTCATAAGCAGTGATAAGGCAATGAAAAAGGGCATTTTTATCTATTTATTGCCGGTTTGAACAATATGTTTTGTTTAAAAAATTTTTTCATTGCATATTTATTGTGAAAACTGGTGAAAATAAGAGCGTTTGACCTTATCTTCGCTAGACTCACAATGGCTGGGTGGTCAAATAGTCGGTAATGCAGGTTGTACTCGAGAAATGTGTCACGATCATAAAAAAATAATTTAAAAATAGTGTTGGATCAAAGAGTAATAAATAATTAATAAATCGAGAGTTTAAAAATTTTATTTTTGTGAAAACGGAAAAAAGAGTGTAGTGAATATTTAAGCGATGAATGACAGTTGCACTAATCAATTTTATGAAATTGAGGTTATATTTACAAAAGGTGCGATCAAGTGCGATAATAAATAGAAAATAGTTTTGTTTTTATTTTAATAAATATTATGGTAATATTTATAACTGTGAGCAAAGAAAAAAACACATATTTGAAAACGAAAAATGCACAAGAAACTGTGAAACATGAATTATTGTCTACTTTTTTCTGGCAATATTTAGTTGAGAATAAAAAGTGTCATAATAAATTTGTAATTAGGGAAATGTTTATTAAGATTAATCAAGTGACAATTTGATAAATTATCTTTTAATAAATACTGCAATTAAATGATACAGTGAATTTGAAACTTATTGTAGTTTTGCATGAAAAATTCAGCGCATAAACAGAAAAAAACAGTAATATTCGTAATGTGTAATTTTTAAATTAAAAACTTTAAAAATCAAATGGAATTAAAATGTGAATAACAGTTAAGTTTTCAAAATTATTGATCAAGTATTAATTTAGTGTAAAACAAATAAAAAGGTAAAATTAAATTTGTACAAAAACGCAACATAACCTCAAAATTTCAGTGTAATAAAACTTTGTTTATCAACGTAATTTAAAATGAATATAATTGTTTATAAAAACAAATAGAAAACGCTAATTCAAAGTGACGTTGTTTTGATTTTTTTCCAATAAAATTTGTGATAAATTATTTCATATTTTTGCATTATTTTACGTGTTAGTAACACTATTAAATCTGTATTTTTTGAGGTTCCTTATGAATATCCATTATTATTGAAAATTATCTAATACCTTTAGTCAAAAGAATATTTTTTGTCTTTTTTACGTAATAAACATAAACACCGAAATTAAAATTTTTTAATATTTTATATACAGTATACCGGTTTTTTGTGAATTGAGTAAAACATTAGTTCAGATTTTAGTTAGTCACTAAGTTGAAGTCCACATCGTTCTTTATCAACGATTAAAGGAAATTAATTTTTTTCAAGCAGAAAATAATAAAATTTTTTGTCAAACATATTTATTCTAAATTAGTTACAAAAATAAATTGAAAAAGTTATTTTTTCGACAAACATTGAACAAAGAAGTTACAATAGAAAATTATTTTTCTTTTAAATTGTTGACCAAAATTTTCTAAATTATTTAATATACAATATTCTTCTGAAAGTCGTAATAAATTTAAAATCTAAATTTTATTTTACAAAATTAAAATTAGTTTTAATGCAAAGCTAAAGTTTTATTAAAGATTCAGTACAAATTCGTAGACAAATACAAGAATATCGTAAATATTTAAACACTTAGTTTATAATAAACATTACTACAAAATATTTCATAAATATTGATAGTAAAGCACAACATATTCCTTAATCTATACTTGCAAGGTTATTAAAAATACCTGTTATTGATTTTAATTAATGCAATTTGCGAAGAAATGTAATAACATCAGGGTGGCGAGTTTTTTTATAATTTTAAATTCCTGGTTTTTTCCTGTCAAAATTATATTTAAAAAATTTTGAATTATTGAAAAATTTTTTGCCTACACATTATATATATATGAAAAAAATTACTTTTTAAATGGAGCTACATCAAATTTTTAGAATTGCCAAAAATTCCCTGCTTTTTGGTAATTTTCCCAGTCAATTTTGAAAATCCCGGTCATTTCCCGGTCCACTCGCTACCCTGATTATTAAAAGTGACAATTTTGACAAAAAGCAGTTTAATTAAATAATTCTAAAATTCATAGAATATTACAAAATTTCAGGTAGTAGAATTTTAGAGAATTAAAAAAAAGGAATTGAAATATAACTTGAGCACCCGTATGTACCCGCTTTAAAAGATTGTGAATCGCCCATTCCTAATTGGAATCACGAAACTGAAAAAACAATTCTCCCAATGATTATTCGCGTTCTAGGACGATAAATCACTTGCTTGTGAATGTGTGATTGGTCCGTTTTCACATGAAAATATTTCAACATAGTTCGGCAAAGAATAATTAAGAATAATAAAAATTGGCAAATAATGAATGATAATAAGCAAAAATCTTAGAAACTACAAAAAAAAAATCAGTAGACAAGAACGCAAAATTATGAACGCCTGCGATAACTTTTATCTCTTGTCCTTTCTCTTTGTCTTTCTCTGTCGTCTTCTCTCTGTCTCTGATCCTTTCGGTTCTCCTCCCTCTGTAAAGATCTAACAGACAGTTTCAATTGATGAATGGTATTTTCTAAATACCTCAATCGTTTGTCGAAATCATCCATTCTCTGAAATATAAAAATGATTTTTTTTTAATTATTCTTTTTATACTTATTATTTATTTTTGATTTTATTACAATAATAATTAATTTTATTTCTAATATTATTATGTTTTTAACTATATTTCTATTACATTTTTTATTATAATTATTATTGGCATTTTTATTATTACAGAGTTACCACAAGTCAAGGAAATCTAGGAAATCAGAGAATAGTCGGAAAGAATTAAATTGATCAGGGAAAATTGAGGGAAAATTATCAAAAATGTTAAAATTTTTGGTGAATTGCAATTGAAATTGTTATGAGTAAATAAATTTTTAAAGGCTTAAAGTAAAACTTAAAAATTAAAATTCGTGTATACTCTTTAAAAATTGCATAAGAAAATTGAATTTTAAAAATTTTTTGCCTAAAAAATATTTAAAATAATTGAATCTACGAAGAACTTAATTAGAATTGTTCAAAGAGAATTTAGTTGACTCACAGAAATTTTTTTCAATCAAGAAACCACAAAAAAGCCTTGTTTTACTAAAAAAAAAATTTTTAATGAATCGAAACAAATCAAAGGAACTTATTTCTCTAAATAAAAAAAACAAAACTATAAAAAAATTTTAAGTTAAAATATCTTAAAATTTAATTACATTCAAAATTTTTAATTGCATTTTTTTAATTCATGATTTTTAAATTTTTTAATCGAAATTTAATTCTAAATTAATTATTTTCACTAATTTAATAATTTTAATAAAATTCTTCAAAAATTTAATTTATTAAAATATTTCTAAACTACAATTTTTTTTAAAAATTTAATTATTTTTAAAAATAAATTCATTAAATATTTTTTAAATTTAGAATATTTGAATTTCAAAGCCATTAAAATTTGTAAGAATTAAATTTTTTATTAAATACGGAGTAATTGAATTTTTTACTCAGACTTGAATAGGTAATTAAATTTTAATACGCGATTCAAATTATAATTTGAATTCAATTTTTCGAGAAATAATTAAAATTGACAATTGAATTTTCAATTGAAAACAATTTCGACAAATTGAAGCTTCATTTAGACTTGAAAAATTCAGAAAAAGATGAAAAATTAACAAAATAAGTAAAACAGGTGATACTTTAACGAAATAGGTAAATTACTTGGGTCTGTGATTTCTGATATTGATTTTTAATGGTTTGATTCTTTTGTTTTAGTACATGGTGGCCACTGGTCAGGGAAAAGTCAGGGAAAATAATTCGAGTCAAGAAAATCAGGGAAAAGTCGGGGAATTTTACAATTAGTTAGGGAAAAGTCATGGAATTTTGTAATAAGTCAAGGAAATTGTTAACAAAAATTTTCCATTTTTTAGTGAGTAAATTCAAGAAGAAGAGGTCAGGGAAAAGTCAGGGGATTTTTTCGAATGTCGAAAAAATTGCCTGACTTTTCCCTGACCTTTTTCTTGAATTTTCTCATTAAAAAATGGAAATTTTTATTTGGCAAAAATTTCCCTGACTCATTACGAATTTCCCTGACTTTTCCCTGACTAATTGTAAAATTACCTGACTTTTCCCTGACTTCCCTGACTCGAATTTTTTTCCCTGACTATTCCCTGACTTCCAAGTTTTCCCTGACCAGTGGCCACCATGTTTTTATTATTTTTTTATGATTTTTACTATTGTTTTTATTATATTTATTATTAATTTTATTCACAAAACTTACATTACTTGGATCTTCCGGGACCACGCGTTGGCGCTGTGCCTGACCTTGTCGTTGTTGCCTTTGCGGCAGCTGACCCATTTCCAGATTTTGCAATGGCTGTTGTTGAATTTGTGGTGGTGGGCATTGCTCTTGCAGAAAATGTTGTTGCACTTGTAATGGCGGGCGTTGTGCTTGGAACGATTGTTGTTGTACTTGCAATGGTGGTCGTTGCTCTTGTAACGGCTGTTGTTCCAATTGGAATGGCTGTTGTTGCAATTGGAATGGCGGTTGTTGCGCTTGCATCGGCTGTTGTTGCATTTGTAATAGCGGGCGTTGTACTTCCAATGGGTGTTGTTGCATTTGTGATGATGGTCGTTGCTCTTGTAACGGCTGTTGTTCCAATTGGAATGGCTGTTGTTGCAATTGGAATGGCAGTTGTTGTGCTTGCATCGGCTGTTGTTGCATTTGCTGTAACGGCTGCTTTTGCAATTGGAATGACGGTTGTTGGAGAATGAATGAATGTTGTTGTTGTTGCAATGGAGCCTGTTGGACTGGTAACGGTTGTTGTTGCATTTGCAACGTCGGTTCTTGCACAAGCAACGGTGGCTGTTGCTGTGCCTGCAACGCTTGTTGTTGCTGCACCTGCAACGGTTGTTGTTGCTGCGCCTGCAACGGTTGTTGTTGCTGCACCTGCAACGGTTGTTGTTGCTGCGACTGCAACGGTTGTTGTTGCTGCACCTGCAACGGTTGTTGTTGCTGCACCTGCAACGGTTGTTGTTGCTGCACCTGCAACGGTTGTTGTTGTTGCGCCTGCAACGGTTGTTGTTGCACCTGCAACGGTTGTTGTTGTTGCACCTGCAACGGTTGTTGTTGTTGCACCCTCAACGGTTGTTGTTGTTGTTGCACCTGCAACGGTTGTTGTTGTTGTTGCACCTGCAACGGTTGTTGCTGTTGTTGCACCTGCAACGGTTGTTGTTGCACCTGATGCTCTTGCAAAATACAACGTTGCAGTCGCTGCGAATGCCTTCGTTGTGGCACTTCCAGCGGTTGTAGAGGTTGCTGTGACTGTTGCATTTCGTTCGGCTGATGCATTTGCAGTGGTTTTAGGGTTTGCGGCGGCAACTGCTGCGTTTGTCCCGGCTGATTTTTCTGGGTTCGTTTGCCGTTCGTGAGTTTCTTCGTTTTCCTATCCTTGGCCTTGCTTTTCTCGTTCCCTCTATTCGGTCCCATCAACCTATACAATGAAAATAATAATTATTATTATTATTGCTATTGTGGGCTCAACGTTTTCAAAAGGCGAAAAAAAGTAGAAAAATATATGAACATAGAATACAAGAAAATAAATAAAGAGGAAGAATAAAATTTAAGAAATTAAAGTAAAATAAAAATAAAAGAAGAACAATAGAAACGGACGATATAAAACTACCTTTATAATTTTGAACATTCAAATAAACAAAAAAATTTTGACGTTAACATTGTTACAAACCAGAAATTTATTTATTTAAATTTTATTTTATTTAAATCGAGCTTTTGAGATGGCCCTAAATTTTAGTTTGGGGGAGGCACCAAGCTGCCAAGGTCTGAAGGACCCTGTTTAAATTTTGCGGGATCGTTATCTTACTTTTAAAAGTTGTGCTCTGCTTCGTTGTTTTCTTTGAATATTTGGTTGAAAATCAATTAGTTATGGTGTTAAAGCAAAAGGAGTTCAGTTGAAAGGTAAGTAAAATTTAGTAATTTTATTTATATTTGTTCTTTTATTCAGGAAAGAAAATATTGTGGTTAACAAGTGGATGTAAAAGTTTAATACAAATAGAGCGGTTAATGTTGAACGATACAGAATTTACTTACGACTACCGACGTCAGCTAGAGATATTCTTGTTGTCGTCGGGCAAGAACGCTTTTAATTACACTTAACTTGGTTGTCTTTACAACCTATTGTTCGAATTTTACAGGTTAAATTATTTGGTTTACCCGAATAAAATGTTTTTAACACTGCGTTGTGGGGCCACTGCAACGAAACGGCGCAGGCGCTACACGCACGGACTGGCCGGTTATTTATTAAACAAAATTCGATTTAGTAAAATATATTTACTAAACCGAATTTCTCCCGCTACAGCTCTCACGTGGACTTCGTCGGTTAGAAGACTTCTATTTTATTTTTCGTCCGCCTTTCGTGTTATACTTTTAATCTAAGTTCTACACGGGGGTCCGACGCGCAGACGGGCTAAGTCGCGGCGTTCTTGAGGTCTCGCAACACTTACCAGGCTAGAGCCAGGAGATGTTGCTCGGAAGAGTCAAGAAGTTGTACTGCAATTAATTAGATTTTGCGACTAGCCTCTAGTCCTTGCCTTCAGTGTCAAGGTGGGGAAAACGAAAATTTAGATGGAAGTAGGGGAAAATTCCTGGGCCCGGTGGGAGTTGCAATTTTGCTGATCTTTTTGATTCCCATGCAGGCTCCGTGAGAACGGAAATGGTCTGTTAATATGATACATTTCTGAAAATTATTTTAAAATAATTAAATTAAATTATAATTTACTTAACAAAATTATAATTTAATAACATAAATTACAATATTATTTAACAAAATTATAATCCAATTTCATTATAAATGGTGTAATAATTTATTGCAATTATTACAACCCATATAGAGGATAGCAAGTAGGTTGCGTATCCAATTGTGACTATATCCATATCTATGACCCATGGTTTTCCGTTAATTTGTTGGAAACAAAGTTGCAACAAATGTGTGTTAAATAAAAGAGTCTTCTGCAATTGGGCATATAATACTCCAAGGCAACATGCGTTCGCACATAATACCGGATCAGCTGTTGGAAATGCACGTGCTTTTGTTTTGGTGCTATGTTTACAACTTGCGGGCCCGGAGGGGTGAAGGAAAGGTTTTACGCACAGATAAGGCAGCGAGTAGAGGCAAGCATTGCGCGTGTGTGTTAGTGCCCGTAGCACGACGAGTCCCATGGTGGTGTGAGTCCTGTAACCGAGAAACCCGCGAGCGCACTGTAGTTTATGCACAGTGGTTTCGTGCTTGTGTGTGTTGCCTTGGCCGCTCACGCATACGTATGCACCACAATACAGTGTGATGTGTATGTTTGAATATATATTTTTTTTTTTTTTTTTTTTACTATTACATATATATAACTTTAATATAATTCCTTCTGTATTTGTTACATCATTTTTATAAAACGTAGTCTTGTTCGCGCAATGTTGCAATTCGACATTTTCTTCGCAACATTGCTGCAGCAAATACGCGTGGTGCCTGAACGAGGTGAATGATTAATATTGCAACTATGTTGATTTTCGCCATGTTGCTTCACAACATTGTTACAATGTGCCCAATAATAAAAGACATATGTAACGTTATAGGAAAATTTTTAAAAACTTGATTTATAATATTTTATATTTGAAAGGAGGGTACCGAGCAAAAAGTGTTTGCGAGCTGCCGACGGTTCCTTATCAGGGTGTCAGGTATCCGTCAACAAGGTCTCGCTTCTCATAGCGAGTCTTGTCGACGAAAAGAGATTAAAATATAATAGGCAGTGTTGCCGAATATTAATTAAGTTTTAATGGTTGCAGTGAAGCAACTAAATATGTAACAATCCACCGTGGAAATTCCGTTTTCCGTCCCGGAGAACTCGACACTCTTTGCTCGTAACCTGATAATGGCACAAAGTTTTGTTATTTCTTAAATCTATTTTCCATTCAAAGATTAGTCAGTTTATACATTACGGCAACACAGCGTAAGCATGGTGTTTCCTATTGTATGACTAATCCTTGATACGTTAACAAAGGTTTAGTTTCGCATCCGCTGTAACTCAAAGTCGTCGACGGTAGTTCGTGAATTAGCGCAGGGAAGGAACAAGCGACGGCTCGATTCCTCTTTTCGTAATTAAACGTGAAGTGCAAAAAAAAAAAATCGTGAAAGTATAAAGTGTGGCTATAAAAGAAATAAAAAAAATTTTTTTTTTTTTTTTTTTTTTTTTTTTTTTTTGTGCTCCCGCTTCATAATGTTTCAATCATCGGAAGGACTGGAGGAATTAAAACAAAAGGCGTTCAGTGATGATGAGGGAGAAAATAAAGATGAAGTGCGGGGACCTCCGGAAAATGCAAAAGAATGGTTGCGTAAAGTGTTTGCGTGTGTGCGTGCACAAAACATAGTTAATAAACTAAGAAACTCCAAAGGGTAAGTGTGTTGATTGGTTTAATAGCCTATTAGTATTATTATCGTTATCATAAAAGCTATTTCCTAATTTTCTAATTCCTAAAACAAATCTCCCTCTTTTTTATAATCGGAATTAAATAATAGTAAGATGGGTGAATTTTATTTATTTATTTATTTATTTATTTTTTTTTTTTTTTTACTCGTGGTAGTTCTTTTAATAATTAGCTTTCTCAGTAGCCCTTTTCGCTTGCAGATTCATCGTCGATTTTAGTCCGTGGGTCCCAGCCAAGGTTCGGGATTCAGGAGGCTTTTGGACTCTCGATCGCGCCCTGCGGCGGAGTTGCAAAAAGTTGCATTCCCGGAATCTTTGGTTCCAAGAGTACTCATGGAATGAGGAATCTCTCGGTTATTGGTGTCGCGGCTACTGGGCTCCGGTGAGAATGTTGCTTATTTGTTAAAAAATTTTTTTTTTAATTTTCCCTTTTTGGGGCCGCTTATTAATTTGTAATTTTAGCACGACTTCACGGAATTATCGGTGGTATCTACGGAGCGCCCGGGAATTTTTTCCTTAGCCTTGTTGAAAGGTGCCTGGAAAGGCGAGAAAAGTGAGACGACGTAAGGGCTCTTTTATCTCTTTTTTTTTTTAATTTTAAATTGCGAAAATAAGTTTCAAAAAAAATTTTTTTTTTTTGTATATATATACATATATAATATTTTTCCTTCTTAGTACCTTTGCCCTCATGCCGAGCATTCCTCTGGAGGAAGGATATCAGCCGTTGCTGAGCGTTTTCCGGCTGTCCTTCCTACAGTGTCATTTTTGGAGCAGGGGTAAGGAATCTAGGGTCAAGGCTCGCTGGCAAATAGTAAGTTACCAAATCAGTTAATCCCTAGGACTGTTAACATTGGAATCTTTTGTAATTCGATTTCTCCTTCCCCTTTTAGAAATTCAACGTTCCGGAATATGAGTCCTGGGCGGGAGTGAGTTCCGGAGGGATGTCGCTAGGTGCTCCTAGCGCAACCCAGTAAACATTTTTGGGACACTTGGTGACGCGTGGTTGTACTTAAAACGATTTTAGTGTTTTAGGTTTTATGAAAAATAAAAAAATTTGTATATATAATTTTTTTATTCCAAAGAAAACGGTGCGTCACAGTGCATTCGAGGAAAATTTGTGCGACGATAAATGCTGAGAAGTGAATGAGGCCTTTGTTCTCTTGGGTGTAACACTACACGAGAGCGATAGCCGGGTGCCTTGGCGTCGCGACGCCTTTATCTTGCATCTTAGTGTATGGTCGGTCGCGTAAGCGAATGGATTATAAAACTCATTCCTCTTGCAGGAGCCTTCTTTCTACATTAAAAAAAAAATTTTTTTTTTGAAGCAATAAAAGGAGAAAATATAAAAACTGTGAATAAACTAATTAATAGAATTATTTTGAATAGTGACAAACGAATTTTAGACAAGTGTATAACTGTGAAACTGTGAGTTAACAAATTCTTTCCTTTCTTTGTGGATTGTGATGGAGATCCAAGAATTGGAGTGCCTTCCGGAAGTGGAGGAAGACCTCCTGGAAAAGGAGTTTTCTGAGGCAGTGGATATCGTTTTAAGAGGTCGGGAGATTTGTTCCCTTTTACCGGGGGACAAATTTTTACGGCTGAGGGGGCGCCTCTTAACGAGACTGTTCACGGAGGGGATAGTGTCGGAGGGCCTGCTCTCCGTGACTGCGGAAAACATCCAGGAACATCCGGAAGACATCGCCCTAGATAAAAAGATTCGCCTAGCGAAGGTGGAGTTGGCGGTTCGGGAGAGAGAGGAAGACAGAAGAAATTCGCTCTCCAGAGGGTAAGTATTTTATTACATTTTTTTTTTTATCCTTATACAAAAAAAAATTTTTTTTTTTTTTAAGAAATTCTTTGCACACAAAAAAATTCATTTCATCCAAATAAACCTGACTATCATCAAACAAATACCTACACGAATCAAATGATTTAACAAACCATTCAATTGATCCAAACAAACTAAATATTAATATATATTAATTGTATTATTAATAATTTATTTGATGACAGCCAAGTAATTAAGTATTTGAACTAGATAGATTCACTTCTCTTGTGCCGAAATTTCGTAAATTTAAATACGATTTTAATCAAATTTCTCGAAACAAAACAATTATTATTATATATATATATATATTTTTTTTTTAAACCCATTCATGGTTAATTTTGTTGTAAGGGTGAATGTATAAAATCTTTCTTTCGGCCGAAATGAGATTTCGAATGGAATTCTTTGTATTTCTCTTTACAACTTTATTTTCTTAGCCGTTGTTATTTTCTCGTTAGGCTGATGATTTATGACGCCCGAGTGGTGGGGGGTCGGTTGCCGTGAGCGCGTTTAGTGTTGCCGGGACGTGACAAATTTCCCGAAAACCGATACAATGCGCTTTTTCTTAAATCTTAAGTGGTCTGTTTTTTTTTTAATTTTGAAGACTTAACTGTGACGTAGTCCACTACCTTAATGGGAAAAGAACCACGAAATTTGTTTTTCTTAACTGCATTCAGCTTTGAAGAATAACGAAGGCAGTTAGTCTAAGACGAACTCTCGTGTTGTTCACTTTTCGGATAGTGTTTGTGACACAAGTGTTTCTCGGTGTGTTTTTTTTTTTTTATTGAAGGAGTGTATAAGTGATTGGGTGTAAGCGTTACGGCAGACGGTTGTTGTTGGTGAGTTTCCCTTTTTTTTTTATAGTTTCTTTTTTTTTTTAATTTATTCAGGGCTCGGATTGTGCAACCTTATCGACTTTTTAGATTTTTCAATTACCTTTTAACTTAAATCTTTAAATAGCAAACAAAATTTTTATATTGTCAGTTTTAAACCGATTATTCTGTGTGTAAAAAAAAATAATTGTGATTAAAATTATTTTTGTGTTTCGTCAATTTAAGTTTATTTTTTTGACCTTTACGTTATGATATATACGAAATGGAGGTTAATATAAATACAATAATAAACTAATTTCCATCAATTTATTAATAATATTAATTAATAATAATTAGAGTATCATTTTTAATAATTAATTCTTTAAACATAAGAAGAAAACGTAGCGCATATTTTCTAATTAAAACTACATTATTTAAATAAAAATTTTAGTGCATTCACGTGAAAATTTTTTTTTTTTTTTTTTATTTTTTTTTTTAAAACGATGTCTCCTTACTCTTTTTGTTCTAGTTTCATTAAACATTACCCTTTTTTAAATTAGCATTTTTTTTTTTTTTTTAATCGTATTAGAATGACGTTTAGAAAAATGGAATGTAACTAAATGTGTTGTCAAAAATTAAATAACCCCTTTTTAGAAGTAACCTAGAATCTGATCAGGCCGAAACCACAAATAAGATTTTCTTAAGGCAATTTCTACACGGGTAAATCAAATTAATAAAATTTAAAAATTTTTACAAAATTCAGAATACTTATTTAAAACGTAAAGAAAATTATTTTTAAAAAAAAACTTAATAGTTAAAAGATAATGTTAAATTGTTCATAAAATTTTTTTACCGGGAATTTGAAATCAGAAAGAGAAGAAAAGAAAAAAAATTCGCCACCCTGAATTTGTTGCATTCTACACTTAATTATAATAGTACCTCATTAAAAAAATTTTTTTTTTTTTTTTTTTTTTACAATTTATGCCTTTTTTTTTTTGTTTAAATTTTTTAAAATTTTTTTTTTTTTTAATTTTTTTGTCTAAAATTTCATGCGACTTTTTTTTATCTTAAAGTCGATCCGAGCCCTGTGTATATGTATACTGCTTGAAGTAATATGAAAATAACTTGGGCAAGGTTAGAGCAATTTTTATCTAACAAGGTTTAAACCACTCTACAGAGTCTTATCCTTATTTCCCGACTAGGCGTATTCAAGGCGATTTCGCATCCGGAGTGCCTGAAAACGGGCTGTGAAGTGGCGCTATCCAGAGGTTCGAGAAATCTCGTCTAATCGAAGGTAGAGTAGTTAATTCCTTGTCCGTTGTGACTGATTTCATTTTTTTTTTTATTTAACTTGATTTTAATTAACTGTTTATTTCTATTTTATAATAAAAAAAAAATTTGTTTTTCTTTTTTTTTTTTTTTTTAGCTTATATCAAATGGAGGGAAGATCCACGAGATCCAAAGGTGCTGCTCTCGAGGCCGGTCTCGAGTTTTACCAACCTGCCAGCCGTAAGGACGGTCGTCCGGACATCCACAAACTTTACAATGACTTGGATAGCCGATACTTTAACGGGGAGTTAAAACAGGTGGGTTTTACCGTGGGCTGGGGGCAAAACATGAGGACGACTTCCGGATTCACAGACACCAAAAATAGATTTATTCGTATCAGCTGGGAGATTCACAGTTTGTTACCGGAAGAAGATCTTATGGCGACCCTACTTCATGAGATGATCCACGTGAAGTGTTTCCAGCACAAGTGGGATGTTAGCAATCACTGGCATTGTGGCAAGTTCATCGAAGAAATGGAGAGGATAAATAAGATTGGGCCCTATAAGGTAAATTCCTTTTGTAAATTGTTGTTTTTTTTTTTTTTTTTTAATAAATTTTTTTTTTATAATTTAACTGTAAAGAGAAACAAACATTTTTTTTTATAGGTGGTCCTTAGTCACGAGCTGCCGGAAAAGGTTTACGAAAAACTACATCCGTACGAGTGGAAATGCCGTAGTTGCGGTTATATTCTTCGGCTAACGACTCGCACAACGCCAGGTCCAAAAAACCGGCATTTCAATAAAAAAAATAAAAGTTGCGAGAATCCCTTGTGGAAAAAATTATAGAAGAAGATGTAAATAAAATTTTAGTACCTGAACTCAAAAATTCTTTTTTTTTATGATTTGACAGTCTCCTTCCTTCGAAATACATTGGTGGTTATAGAATTTGATGAAACAATTTCGTTTTCCTTCTTCCCTTTTCTTAGATACGCAGTTCGATTTGGGAACTGGGAGGTGGCACCATACCGCAAGGCGGAGACGGCCTTGTGGTTCTACAGCGGCAAATTGGTGCAGAACATAAAGAAAATATACTCCAGGACGCGATGGCACCAGGAGTATCGATGGGACTCGGGAAAGGCGGCGTATTTCTGTCGAGGGTTTTGGGCCGGGGTAAGAAAATATTCCCTTTTTGCTTGTAAGGCTTACTTTATTTTCCTCCTTCCCTTTTTAACCGTTTGCTTTTTTTTTTTTTAGAAATTGTTCAAAAACCCTCTGCTGGTCCCGGGTGATGTTTCCGGGTTGAAGGTTACCAGTCGGGATCCTTCCGACAGGAAGAAGTCGCTGGTTCGGTTAGTGTCTACATGTATATGCAAGTAATTTTTTTTTTTTTTTTGTTTTTTTTTTTTTTTTTTTAATAAATTTGTATATTTATTCTTTCAGCTTTTTCTCCGCATTACCCAGAGTGGCACCTTACGAAGGATACCAGACCATGGATGACATCCTTAGCCTATCCTTCGTACAGGTGTTCTCCTACGACCGGGAGGGAAAGCAAAAGATCTTCGGATTCTGGCAAGTGGTGAGTATTTAGTTTTGTTTTAAATTTAACTGTTTACATGACTTCATGGATTATAAAATCATGAGATCATCCATAGGCTTAGGTTTAACTATTGGTAGTTAGTAATTTAAATTGATTCGTATTAATCAGCAATTTTTATGTTTCAGACCTACAGAGTGGAACTTACAGAAGCATGGGAGCTGATCGATGAGTCCGGATTTTTAAAGGAGGTAGAGGAGGAAAAGAAACCGCGCGATGAAGGGGAGTGCTCCGAGCCGCGTCCCGGCACGAGTGCAGATTAGGGCAGGTGTGCCCGTTCCGTCGCTGCGCTAATTTCCACATTCTTTTTTTTTTTTTAATTAACGAATAAATGATTAAAAGTAAAATTTCTAATAGCCAAACTTTTCCGCTCATTTTACAAAACTCTTCTGTCTACGGCGTTGCCAAGTTTACGTTTCTTCCACACTAGCGATGTGTGCGCAGTGGATAAAATTATATTACTTTTATTTATTGCATAAGAACTGTACTGTAAAATTCTCAGTTTTTTTTTTATAACTCCTAATAGATCAATCTACAGCATCTTAGTTTTTTTTTTTTTGAATGCGGTTAACTCTACTTTCGAAAATATTCAATAAAAGGTTGGGTGTGCGAAGAAGTATTCGATATCTCCTGTGTAAAATCGTACAATTTCAAATGTTTACAACTTTAAAACTAGAGGATAAATTGAGTTGAAAACATTTTTCTCTTTTTTTTTTTTTTTTTACAATCAATAAATCATATGTTTATTAACTTATACTTAGAGTTTCATTAAAAATTTCAACTAAATCAATTTTCGAGAGAAATACTTTAAATGCTTTTATCAATAAGTGAAATATTGTTTGTAGTTTTGAATCATAACACCCGTATTATCTATCCTGTTCAGCCTCCTGATTTATTTCTTTCTTCCTTTTTTTTTTTTATAATTAGTGAGATTTTATTTAGTAAAATTTTAAAATATGTATCTTTAATTAAAATGAAATTAACATTTTAATATAAAATCTGACCTTTTCTTTAAATTTTGATTATCTTGAATTTTCTTTTTACTTTAAATGCTTTATCAATAAGTAAAATATTGTAAAAGTTGTTAATATTCAAATTATAAATACTCAAATATTCTTATCAAGTTGCTAATCAGTTCGAGATTAAACGTTTATTTAGCTTCATGGTTGATCTTCGAGGTCGATCTTCCGGACGTTACTGATGATCAACAATGTCGGGTTGCTTTATGGTACACCTTGGAGAATTGAGGCGGTGCCCTCTCCCGACAGAATCTTCCTCGGCATAGGCTTCGAGGATCAATGATCCTAATCCTTCGGACAGTCATCTGATTCTTCGTTGTTGTTTATCTTCGGTCGTTGCAGACTTTTGTTCACTCTGGTTAACGCTGTTTGTGGAGCTTGGGCGCAGCACATCCTTAACTTTCACTGCTATTTCCTCTTTGGAAGAAACTGGTCTATCTGAGGATGGTGTAATTACTTCATATAGTGCTTCTGCTGTTGCTGGTAGTTGGGTAGCACGGTCGGGTTTCTTTTGTGCTGGTAGTTCGAAATTACCACTTGTCCTTTTGATGTTCAATACTCGAGTTAAATTGTTAGAATTGCCCTTGAGTGATGTATAGCAAAAATACAGCACCATTATCATAGATAGTAGAATCAATCCTCCATACGAGCCGTACACTAGAATCTGATTTTCTCCCTTTAGGTGGCGTTGAAGGGAAAATTCCTGGAGTTGTTGCTCTAGCTCGTCCAAGGTTTTGGAGTTGATCTCGAAACTGGAGAATTTAGGTTCGATCGCAGGGCCAGATCCAAGTGGGATATCAGATTTCTGCAGCAGGTGTCCATATTTTGCCAGTAATGGCGACAGTATAGTAAGATTTAAGTGTAGCTCCGATTCGAAAATAAATTCCGATTTTCCAGCTTCAGAAATTGTAGCCGGCACAATAACGTCCCTTGTTTTCACGGAACATCCCGGGGCCAGTTTTAAGATTCCGGTACCTTGGAGGGATAATTTGGTGGGGCTGATAGAATGACAGGCTATGATCACAACTTCCGGCGCAGCGAAGGAGTATAACCATCCTCCTATGGTTAATAAAGGTTCCCAGTGTGATTTCGGGTTGGTAGTTACCTTGATATTGCAATTCTTCAAGGTATGAATTGTTGGATTTATCAGCAACTGGGCTTCGCAGGATGGCCTCTTCTCAAAATCGTAGATTGGAGTACCCTTCAAACATGCGTGGTACGCGGCCGTGGCCTTGCAAGAATTCCAATCCGTTGCTTTCAATAACAGGTAAGTGCGTTGATCCTCGTCTATGATGAGATAGTCGTATTCTGATTTTATATATGCTCTTCCAGTCCCATTGTTCAAAGAGTTTTGGACTGTTGGGAGCGAGTGGATTTTATAAGATTGATAGTTGTATTTTTCTAGGAGTGGGATGTCCAGGAGGATTTTGAGTTGGTGATTTTCACAAATGGTTGTAACGACAGAGATGCGCATTAGTTCGTCAATGCTGATCCTTGGTCCCGTTAGAGGAAAATTGACATCCTTCAGGTTATCCTGGATCTCTCGCAGAATGGGTTCCAATTGTTCTGAAGTGATGAGGCCAGGATGGAGTTGGCCCTTCCTTGATTCGTGGACCGCATCCAACATCGTAACCATTGCCTGGATGTTATGATCCAAGCCCAACCTCAAGGCTCTCGCCACGGCGTACGTCAGGTTCATTCGCTCCATTTCTTCCTTCGATGTTTGATGAACCTTGGCAAGTAGAGATTGAAGTTGGTCCTGCAAATTCTTTAACAATACACCATGTCGTTGGACCTGAGAATGCAAGGAATCCAACTGCGATCTCACAATATGTGTCTGCTTTCCGACCAGATGGGATAAGTTGGCCTGGGCCTCGTTAAGATTTTTGATGGCGGTATCATATTTTTCTCCATCATCATATGTTAGAACTCCAGCTATTGGTCCCGCGATTTTTCCCAGAAATCCAAACAGGGGAACGGATCGTCTTGCTCGTAACTGCGAGGACATCTTTCCAGGTGAGGTCATTTTGGTATTTTCAAGTTCTTCCACCTGCGTTCGGAATTGTTTCTGCAACTCCGAGGCCATTTCCCATCGGTCTTCCCATTGATATTCACTTGTTAATTCTCTGCACCAATCTTCTTTAGGTTTGCATTGTTCCGTTAGTCGCTGCAGTCTGGCCTTTAAGTCGTCGAAGAATCGGCTATGTTTGCCGACATCCAGGAATATGGTGATCCTCCAATTGCTGACTGATCGTCTCACCACGCCGATATATTCGAAGTACATTCCACTACTGGCTTCAAGTGGAAGGTTTTGGTAGCTGCTGTAGTCGGTGGATTTGTCCAGTGGATCCGGTCCATCCTGCACCGCCAGTGCTACAAGGCTGGAAATTAGGCACAAAGGGATGACAGTGCGGGCAAACATCTGGATCGATTTCAACATCGCTATCTGCAAATAGAATTTCGATTAGTTGATATGCAGTTGAGGTTCAAATTCGAGCAACCATGACCTTGTCGCGATGTTTCGAAAATCGCGCGCCATTTTCGTTTTCTAGGATCACATTGTTGTTTTCGGTGAATCCTACAATGGTAAAAGGACCATCTGCTCGTCTATCAAATTTGTTTGTTCGAACTTCCTTGTAAACGTAAACCTGATCTCCTACCTTAGCTTTTAAAGGCTTAGATTTCTTATCGTAAATTTGCTTTGACCTTTCCTTCGCTTTTACTAAATATTTGGCTGCAAGATTTTGTAGTTCATTCATTCGGGTAATGAGGTCCTTTAAATAGGAACCATACGTTTCAACCTCTGGACCCTGAGGCAGGGAACTAGGGGTTCTTGCCAAATGACCGAACACGAGTTCAAATGGCGTAAAATTCGTAGCCTCGTGAACTGACGTGTTATAATTAAACATGGCAAATGGAAGTAGACGATCCCAATCGTCGTAGTCCCTTGCATAATGCTTAATATAATCCGTCAATTCAATATGGCTTCTTTCGAGTGCTCCATTTGTTTGTGGTCGGTAGCCAGAAGTGGTAAGCTGTTTGACACCAAAGATCTTTTCTATTTTCCGCATCAAAGAGCTCACAAAACTTGCTCCTCTGTCCGTAAGCACACAGCGAGGTGCTCCAAAGACAGAAAAAAGATTTGTTGCCACTGCGTGGGCGATAGTTTTGGTTTCTATGTTTGGTATTGGAACCGCAATACAATACTTTGAAAAATTGTCTTGCATTGTAAGGATATGCCGATTTCCGTTTGGGGTCGTTTGTAATTTTCCTACTGTGTCCAATGATACCTTGTCGAAAGGCATTGCTGGGGTATCGGTGATCAGCATGGGTTCCCTAGTTCGTGCCCTAACCAGTTTATTCTCAAAACAGCTTTTGCAGCCACGAATATGCTGTGTGACCTCGTCACGCATTCGAGGCCAATAATATCGCTCTCGAATTCTTCGGTAGGTTTTCGATATACCTTTATGCCCACCGATTAGACTAGAGTGGAATTCGGCAATGATCTTGTTACGCAAAGCTATTGGGGGCACTTCTATTTTTCCGTGGCAAAGGGCGATAGAAATATCACCACCGCGGAAAACTCCTGTGACAAGTTCTGTCATCTTTCCTTGTGGAATCGCGCCTAACAGATCTCCTGTGTTTGCCATTCTGCATGATTTTTGGTGGTCAGACTCTAGGGCTTTTCTTAAGTTATTTAGTCCTTTTATAACGTCTTTCCAACAAACTTCATCAAAATGACACCTTTTTACAACAATAGAATAAACTTTATATTTACCATTTTGGGTGACATGAATTTGTCCCTTCACGGGTTTACGGTCTCTAATCTCTTGGAGATCAATACATTCGGTAGCGATTAAGAGTTTAGATATCGGGTTTGTAGGTTCGCAATCTTCCGATATGAAATGGGCGTAATTGTCACGTTGGTAAGTCAGGGGTTCTGTCCATTTATTTGAGACGCATTCATGAATTCTTTCTTTTAAAGGATCACGATTTTTAATTACACTATCACTTTCACTTTCACTTATTATTTCGTTCTCACCTTCCGATTCAAGAGAAGAATGGTCCAGGTAAGGTTCCCTAATGTCTATAAATGATTTGCTCAGGAGATGATCAGTTAACTGTGTGGAGTCCTTTTCTGTCTGAATTCTCCTTGGCTTCATAATGGATCCTTTCCTTACCACCTTCTCTTCTGGTTCGATGACATTAGTCCTGAAACGGGTGAAAGGGGTGGATTGTGCAAACGGTATTGATGAGGGCCCTGGAGTGGTGTTTTCGGGCAACGTTTGCTGTTCATCTTGTGAGACCTCGAATAATTCCGGTAATTCTTTGAATCTAACGATACTTCCTTTCTTAGATTCACTTGGACGGCTAGTTAGTGGGGTTTCCTTTGAATTTACTGTGAGTGTTGAAAGTGGCCGGGGATCTGAGGGAATGTCAAGCATTTCCACGTGTTGTTTTTCCACTCGGCTTCGATTAAATTCATCCAAGAATTTTTTAACTCTTTCCGGAAGTCCGTCTTCGTATTCAGTCGCAAGGTCAAAACTCTTCAAATAATCTAAATGCTCCTGATCATCTTCACCATCGGAAACATATTGTCTTCTGGGAGTTTGATCTAATCCTTCATAGTCCCAAAATAAAGTGTTGTTTGTAGGATTAGAAACATTCGTTGGCGTACCGGCTAACGATTCGTTGAATTTATAAATAGATTCATTCACACCTTGAATCAGCTTCTGTGTTTCGGTTTTAGGCTCTTCTTCCTGATCACAGGATTCACTGCTGATGTTAATTCTTCGTTGTCCCTTGATGATCACTTGATCCGGAGGTAACTCTTCGGATTCCAACTCGGACGATGATGACGGATCCGGCTCGGGGTCTTTCAAGGTCCCTTCTCTTGCCAATTGATCGGCATTCTCATTACCAGGA